CTTTTTTTTTTTTTTTTTTTTTGAATAAGTGACCCGTTATTTGTGTCTTTCTCATGTTTGTATCTGTGCCTCGTGGTTGAAGGCCATGGGCGGAAATTCATTGTTGAGTGTTGTGTCCACGCTTAGGATAGACTATTCTAGTTAGTTTTGAGTGGCAAGAATGCTTGCAATGGAGATGGATGATCGGAGGCTTGTGATTTTCTACTTCTTGCAAACTTTTGTTTGTTGTTTCTCATCCTTGGTGCTTACTAACTACTATTTTTCATTATTGGATGACTTTTCAGTCTTATCAGCAGCAACCTGATGCTAGTTTTGGATTAGCCCGGCCCCGATGAGGGGCTTGGGCCGTGCCTGCACCCTGCCAGTAGACTGTCCTGTCTTAAATCACGAGGCTGCTAGGGCAGCACGTTTACCCCAACTGGACAAGGTGCAGGCATAAGCAACCGAGATGTGCTGAATGGACATTAGCATCATCTTAATCCATCTTTGATCCGTCCCCAAGTCTCGGTTAAATAGAGCTTCATTCGTGTTTGATGGAGTTCATTTGGTGTGTTAGGACAATTGATTGGATGAGTTCCCTAGAACTCTTCCTTGCACCGTATGATGACGAAATCAGAATAGGAAGAGAAATTATCGGAGCAGTGAAGGTGACTTAAAGTTGGGCAAAGGTATATATTCTAGACGATAATATAACTCAATTGTTCAAGTTAGGATGTGTGGCTCAGGTTAAAAAGTTGGCTTATAAGAACGTAAGTTCTGAATTTTTTTTTTGATCAAGTCAGAATGAGCAAGCTACTTTCAAGTGTCAAGAAGTGTTACTTTCAAAATAACCAACATTTTTTTAACATGAAAAAAATTAAAATCCAAACATGTTTGAAAACAAGAAGTTAACTTTCACCTTTTATAAAGCTTAGCTGAAAACCTCTTCGAGTCTTTGTATTTATAGCGAGTAGTGCTGTAAATGATGCTAAATAGCTTTCTGTATTTTGTTATGATACCAGGAGCTACATTACCATTATGCCCGATGATTGTTGCATAAGGATGTGTAGAAGAGGAGGAGCTATCTTAACTATCTGTTATGCTGACTGACTTGTGGCTCAGATTATCTCAACTTCCCTCGCAAATGTGAAGCAGCTACTTGAAATATTTGACTGATTAAATCAAATCTGC